TGATTCTGTTTAGTGCCTATGTCTAAAAAGCCTCGTGAGCACTACTACTGCTGTCAGCAAATTGGTCCTCTGTTTTTTGGTAATCCTCCGTGCGTGCAATTGACATACATAGTGTTTTCAAGGCAGATTATGTTGTCCATGCGCGCAATTAGCAAATATATTGTTTTCTGGGCAGACCATGTCATACAAAAGCATGCAGATAATGTTAACACATATCAATGAGACACTGTGGTATGAAAAAGAATAATTGTAACATATCAAAAACTGTCAATTTAACTTCAAAAAAAGACCCTGGCTGGTCTTTGATTTGCTGAACATGCCATGGGTTCCCGCTCTGAGAGGTCAATGCGGATGTTGAGCAGCCAGATATATTGGTTTCAATGGTTGTTGGGCCGTCCGCACCACTATGTGCTGACTCGTCATGCGTGGTTCTGGTTGGACAACTTGGTGGCGCTGCTGAGCAGAGCGGTTCCGCCGGCAAGAGGAAGCAGTCGCCAACTCAATGCGTCGAGCCCACAAGGAAGGTGAACCCAGAGGTACCACGGTGGACCAGAAGGTATAAATATAATTAATAGTCTTTTTTTCTATGTACTCGTGGTTCTGATTGTTAGTGTTTATGTCCATATATGTCCAGCTGGCATCATTAGCTGAAAAAATTGTTTCCACCATCTGTAAAACTGTAAATTTAATTTCAGGTTAAGAGTTTGGCGTGCCCCTCTGGATAGGGCACCCTGTCCAGGCAGGGTCACTCCATTAGAAGAAACAATTAGGAGGTACGCTGATAAACCCTTGGACAATGTAGTGAAGCCAAATATTGGGATGAGTTTTGACTCACTTGGGGAAGCGTGTGATTTCTATAACCTCTATTCTTGGGAGCTTGGATTTGGTATACGATATGGCAAGAGCCGTCTGAATATGGAGTGGACAAAGTGTATGCAGGAGATTGTTTGTGGATGCTCGGTTAGCACTTACTACCATTAGTAAAACTTTGTAGATTTTTTACATATTGCTATCAACATAATTTCATTTCCTATACCTGACATGGAGAAAAAAGGTCAACTTCCAGGGGAAGCCTGAGCAGCAGAATAGCCGGTCCTGCCGGTGTGAGTGCCCTACCATGATCAGATTGCTTAGATCTGTAGACAATGTATGGCTCATTGCTGAGCACCGTTCCAGCCGCAACCATTCATTGTCTCTTACTTGCGGTGAGAAAGTTCATTGGCCATCACACAAGCACATAGATGTGTAGATGAAGGATTTGGTGAAGCAGCTTAGGGCGAACAATGTGAACCCCAACAAGGTGTACAACATAGTTGGCAGCTTTTGTTGTTCAACCTAGAATGTGCCTTTCACAAAGTGGACACTGCGCAATCTGTGTGGGTGGATAAGTTGAGACCAGGCTAACGATGATGTAAATAAGACACTAGCTGTGTTCAAAGAGATATGGCAGAACGACCGAAAATTTACCTACTGAGTACAAGGTGATGAAGAAAGCATGATCAAGAACCTTATGTGGACAAATGGGAACAACAAGCCACCTCGAATTGTGCACAGATGGTATAAGTGGCATGTTCTTAAGAAAGCAAAAGAGAATCTTGGTCCATTATTGTACACCAGCAAGAGTGAGTTCAGGTCCGAATTCCACAAAATAGTGAATCGCGTGATAAGTGTGGAGGAGTTTGAGACTGCATGGGGCTTGCTGATTGAGAAAAACAATTTGAAGTCCCACAATTACATGACAAATCCTTATCTGATATGGCATAAGTGGGCAAAGCCGCATTTCAAAGGTTTCATTATTACAACCTTATTTTTCATGTCAAAGTCAAGTCTTCTGCGCCAAAATGACTAGCACACAACGTAGCGAGAGTGCGAATATTATGTTGAAGATTTACATGCCGCAAGCAAGCCCAATGCACGTGTTCATGCGATAGTACATGAGGCTTCAATTCAACTGAGAATCGGATGAGAGCTTCAAAGAGAAAATGACAAGAATTGTGAGCGATACTAATGTACATGCTCATTTATATTTTTGTGGTTCTTGTTTGTCTCGTCCGAGAAGCTGACATTCTACCTATTTTTTTATCCGACTATAGAGTGTTGTTGTGATGAGAACAAATGTTGCTATCGAGAGGCATGCAAGTAAAGTTTATACAAGAAAGATGTTTCAGCTATTCAGTGAGAACCTCTTCAAAGGTGGACCATACCAGGTAGAAGAAGTTGTGAGGAAGAAGAAATACATCACGGGGCACAATGACGCCGACAAACGTGAGAAATGGAGTAAAGTTGATTTCGAGGTGACCATATCAAATGATGGTGTCTGTTTCGACTGTGAATGTGGGCAGTTGACCCACATGGCCACACGGGGATGCTATGTTGCCATGCTATGAAGGTTATTTTCTCACTGCGATATTAATCAAGTAAACCTTGTCCTGTCATATATTTGATTTGAAACGAAGCCCTTATGCTTGCCCATGGATTCAGGTGATGGACTAGTTGGCGTGCCGGAGATACCCAAGTGGCACATCATTAAGAAATGGACTGAGTGAGCAAATGAGATTCTGCAGTATATGCAAACTGCCAGGACATAAGAATACCACCTGCCCGGAGAGGTGCGATGTGCCAAAGAAGCTCGCAAGCTTGTGACATGCAAGAACTATGGCATTACAGGACACCGCCGTACTTCCTGCACGAGGCCCATCCTGAGAAATGCATCTTAATACTTTTTCCCAGCTATGTGTAATGTTGGAATAATAATAATTGATGATTTTCTAGTTGATGACTTGTGTTTGAACCTTCACACTTGTTCCTCCTTGTTGCAGTCTATTTGCATTCTGAACTTAATAATTTGAATTTCATGAAATCTATAGACAGTTGTATTGGTGAGACGAATTTTTTCCCACACATGACCACTCCTGGCATTTCAAAATATACTGGCGCCTTGGTTTTACTGGGTGTATGCTTGCTGAGCTTTCAATCACTGGTTGGTGCTACTAGAGTAAATTTTGCTATTACACGTGTCTGTGTTGGGTCCAGCTGGACGCCCGTAAGCGCCTCATTAATTCAAAATTCAAAACACGTATGCCACTGGTCCTGGATTTCTTCTGTGGGGAAGGGAAGGGGCTGCGGGTCGTAATTATCAACGCGCCGACCAGGTGGGTGGCCGTTCGCTCATCCATCAACCAGCAGCGGGATAGGTAGGCTCACGAAAACGGCTGATCCGTCCGCATTTTTCCCGTTCCACTACGACACAGTGGTTGAGCACCGCTTTACTGCACGGGACCCACCATTGAATACAATGTAAATATGGTATCGGGAACACAAAATACACGCGTATCCCAATGAAAACCAACGGACAAGATTCCGGGCTCAGCTGTACTCATGATCAGAAACGAATTTTCGTATATGATGGACCATATTCACCGATAAGTTCAGTTGTGACACTTAATATAATATAAAAATTTGTATGCAGTGGCATCCAAATACTTAAATATCTTGTTATAATATTCTGTAGTTACCCTGACAGAGGATCCACTAAAATACATGCAAGACCGTTATCTATATAATGAGCGGGTCTAACAATAGAAATATCCTAATAGAGGTCATGCCGAGTTGATCCTAGGAGGACTAGGAACATCATAAATAGGTAGAAGTGAAGCTCGAATTCTGGATGCCTTTGCGCTCCCTAGCTAGCTACGTCGTGCCCCGTAGCAACATCTATGTCAAACCCGTTCCATTGCCGCCGAGAGCCTCATCTCCGGCGAGGATTCCAACCATCCTCGGCAGACACATGACCACCAACAATCGCAACTTGTTCCCAGCTCTTCATATCCGCGCAACAAATGGTTGCCGAAACAGCGAACCCGAGCCCCTCCATCATGGTTTGGGTCACCGGCGGTTAATTGCCGATGTAGCCGCGTGTACGTTGTCACACTGCCCACCCTCCAAAGGTGCCTAGAGGACAGGCCAGACGCAGCAAAGCGACGCCCCAGTAGCGGATTCCCCATGAGTAGGGGGGCGGGAGACAACCATCTCGAGGCACATCATGACCTACATGTAACACCGGCGAGACCCAGGAAGGTAACCCGATTGGGAGTCAGAGGATCCATAGTACCGGCAACCTCCCAAACTTCATATTCATCATTTCCTAAAGAAAGAGTGAGAGGGATTTCTTTATGATAAGTTTAGGGTTATTTAGGCGAATATCCAATCCGGTGCCCAGACTTAGATGAGCCAAGTGAACAATAACATGATTAAAAATACAAAAAAACAATAAATTTCCAAAAAAAAAATGCAATCACCTAGGTGGCCGGACCGGACGACTCATCCTTCCAGCGCTTTACTGCACGCCTCAGCCAACACGACGCCGTGCAGTAAAGCGCTGGAAGGATTCTATTTGATTCAATTATAGCTTGGTTCACAACCACGATTCTATTTGATTCGAAGGCAACTTTTTTTTGCGAGACGATTCGAAGGCGACGTTGTAGCATACGTATATGGATAATCAACTAACGTCCCAAAACAAGTGAGATCTGACAGTGCTATGCAGGCCGGCCAATTAATCGAGCACGTTCTGTTCGTGCCCGGAAATAAACGTGCCAAACTAGCTACCTGGCCACGTATGTATTTGTGTACATCCACGTGCACGTTTGTGTGATTGGCGTAGAGGAGTGGGCGGCTGAACAAAATGAGTGGCACCATCGGGAAATGACGTACGTGGCACAAGTGAGTTAAGAAGTAGTAATAGGTTGCTTTGCTGGTGGTGCCATCGGAAGTGATTGAAAAGAAAGATACGTACGCCTAAGGTACGCGGTTGCTAACTGGCCGGCCGGTGACGTGCTCCACCATTCCAGTTCGTCGCCGGTTTGATTATATAAAGAAACCAGGCCGGCTGCGGTCTCCCTTCAAGTCCACCGCCCAGCGCACAAGCACAGCGAGCAAGCAAGTGCTCGATCGAAGCTTAGCTACGCCCACGACACGCCCGCCACACATCGCTCTGATCCATGGCCTCCGCCCCGAGATTCTGCGCCGTCGCCCACTTCACCGCCGACGAGGCGGCCCCGCCTGAGACCCTCCACGTTATGCGCCTGCAGCGGCTGCGGCTCCGCCGCGCGGCCGCAGGCTGCCTGGACCCCATCGCCGAGGAGGAGGACTCCGACGCCGACGACGCCCAAGTCCCCGCCGGCTCGCCCAGCGCCCACAGCAGCACCGGCGGCAGGAGGAGGAGAGCGGCCGTCGACCTTGCCCGCTGCCTTCGGTAGGCCTGGTCTCAAAGCTAGCTGGATTAATTAGACACGCCGAGTAGTTGATTACTGAGTAGTTTACTACTATGGATTAGCCAGTCCATCTCCTCTCGTCCAGTTCACGTATGCTCCTGTATTCATCGATGTAATGAATTCATGCGAGTTAGCAAGTTCGATGTCAATCGCCAACGAACATGCTTCGACTTTTTAGCACGCATACAACACTAATCCGAAATGTCACTAAAAATTCTCCTTGCTCTGCTCTTGATACTCTGCTCATCATAACCTGAGACTCTGTTCCCATGTGCCCGAAGACGTATTCACCATGACACCATCATCCGCCTTCACTGCGCATTTTGCGCCACTCTTGTCCATTACGGCAACAGCAAACAAGAAAAGAAAAATACAGCAAAGCTCAGTGACCCGCCAATTCATTCTTGGGGTACACGAGAACGTAACGTACCCATCCGGAACCGAGACCTATCCTCATCGCTTCACACTAACTGAGACGTGTGTGGTGGGTTACGCTGATGAGGAGTGTTTTTGTTGTTAAAGACACGATTTAGGTCGACGTATGAAATCACTCCCCAAAATTCAGTTTCTATTAAAAGACCTACAAAAAAAAAATCCAGCAGCAACGCAGCCGTATGAAATTTTTTGTATGCCACGTCGGGCTCGACTCATGCTAGCCCACCCGACCCCACATATATTCGTCCCCACCTGCTTGCTGAAGCAAACCCTGCTAACTACTTCACTCCACTCCCCTCCGCCACCCGAGCTCGCCTTCGGCGGTTTCCGGCCTTCTCCGCCATGATTGACAGTGGATCGGACTCCGACCAGTCTAGGTCCGTCGACTAGGGTGTCATCCCGTGCGGGTTAGGGGAGGCAATGGTCGTCTGCATTGCACTTCGTCGCTCCCGGGAGGACAACGCCCGGCCGACAAACGGATCTGTCCGTCGCGACTCCATAGCTTCGGCTCACCGGGCGCTCCGGTCCTCCGGGGCTGGATCCTCGCGGTCCCGGCAGCCGAAATCCGTTGCCTTACCCATCACCGGTCGGGCAGACTATGAGTCCCATCGGGACCGGGCGGCCCGCCGTGGGAAGTAGAGGATAAGGGCCGCCAAGGCCTGTATCGCGGCGGAAATGGCGGCACGGGCGACCGCAGAGGAGGAAGCCATTCGCGCCTGCATTGTGAAGAAACGGCGGTGGAGGAACACACGTGCTCGTGCTCGAGAGCAGAATCGGACGGTCCGTGCGATGACTGGACTGCCACCGAAGGAGGAGAAGACGGACAATGACGGCGAAGACAACTCAGGCGAAGAGCAGATCTGGTTCGATCCGTACTGCGTCTTCGACTGGTTGTTCCGCGAGAAGGATGCCAAATTTTGGTAGTCTGATGGCATGTTTACTTAGTAGTGATGTAGTAGCCGGATGATGTGTATACATCGACGTAGTTGCAAGAGTTTATATAGATTTGAGATATGATAATAAAGGTGTCCGAATATGGATTACATTATTTGAGGGATGACCGGTCAATATCTGCAGACGTGCCTAGACGCACGTGCGTTTGAGGGGTCGGATTTGCTGAGTCCCGTTGTAGATGCTCTAACAGCAGACAAAAACCATGTGCTTTTCTTGACGTAAAACTAAGGCGCGGCCTTGGCTCATTTTAATGAAGATGTGAATGAACCAAACAAAGGCGCTAGGGTTTGGGGTAGGGTTTCTTTGTATTCTGCAGCAATGGAACGGTACGTAACAAAGATACACACAGGTACATAGGAGATTTTGTTCATGCACCTTGCAGAACACGTATGCATACAAGCAACCAACCATGCACGTGTATGCGCGCACACACTGCTTCTAGATGCTTTTGGGTTCAAAAAAAAAGATTAAAAGATTGTGTTAACTTTTAGACAATGGCTAGCTGAGCTGAGTAGGAGTAGTAGAAATTAAAAATAAAAGCAACAAAAAGAGGGGGCAATTTTCTTTTGAAAACATGATCAGGAGGCGGGCAAAGATTTTGGATTTTTCAAGATTGTGATTGGGATTGTGATTCAAAAGCCACGTCCGTCCTTTAATTAACCGGAACTATATGGCTCAATTAGGCCAAAACAGGTGAGCTTTTCGTGGCAAGTATGTATTTGCATATTAATTAAGGCTGGTTTAGTATAAAGTTGGAAGTGAGTATAAGATTGAGAAGAAGTAATTAAGCACGTTTTGCATGCCCGTGCCTGAAGCCGGCAAGTTAGGCCACGTAATGTGTAGCACGTCCACGTGCATATGAATATATGATTGATGCAGTCTGACATGGCACCCGCAGGGTTTGGGTATGGGTATTACGTGCCCATACCCGCACCCATCCCAAACTTTTCCGCCCATACCTGTACCCATACCCGCGTCCCGAGTTTCAAATCGTTTCCATACCCGTACCGGGCTGGGTACGGGTAATACCCGCGGGTAAAATTACCCAGCTAGGCGTGTATACTTGGGAATTAAATATCAGCATTTTGACACGTATTGACAACATTTCAGCACATATATACAACATTTCAGCACATATATGCAGCATTTCAGCAGAAATATACAATATTTCAGCACATATATAACATTTCAGCACATATATGCAGCATTTCAGCACAAATATACAATATTTCAGCGCATATATAACATTTCAGCACATATATACAGCATTTCAGCACGTATACGCAACATTTCAGCATTTCAGCACATAGATATATCTCATTTCAGCATTTCAACATAAATTTCAGCATTTCAGCACACACACATAAGTCATTTCAGTCACTTAAGTTCAACACACATGTTGGTTCAAGACAAATAAGTTCAACCTCAATACAAAAGTAGGTTCAGCACACAAATAAGTTGGACACATAGTCATTGTAGCCACTTGAGCCTCTCCCACATGATAGAGGAGCGGGCGCAAGGAGATAAGGAGAAGGAGCAGGTAACGATGGCGGCTGACAGCGTGGCCTGGCTGTAGCTGGCGGCGGCGCCGACCCCCTAGGGTTAGCAGGTCGGGGCGCACAACATGCGGTGGCTGCGACTGGAGAATTGGAAGGGGAGGGGTGGGGGCGCGGTTTAGACTTTAGAATTGGAAGGGGTGGGGGCGTGGGGTGCGGGCGTGCGGTTGGGCCACTGCTAGCTTAGGGTTTTTTCATCTAATAAGTCAATGACACATGGACCTACTTGACAGGGCTATTTTATACGGGTTTGAGGGTTTGCGGGTATGGGTATTGCCTTCCCATACCCATACCCGCCTTACCCGTTGGGTATGATATTTTCCCATTTAGAAACCCATGGTTATTTTAATTTCCCATACCCTTACCCTAATAGGGTTTTTACCCGCCGGGTTCGCGGGTAGCGGGTACCCATTGCCATGTTGAGATGCAGAGGAGTGGCCGAGGTAGAAGAGGAGACGTGCGTGCATGGCGCGATCGTACATGAACAGAGAAGATACTTGCAGACAAAGGGCGTACGTGGCACCACTGTGGCAGTGGGTTGCTTTGTCCGTGGTGCAAGCGAGAGCGACTGGTGACCCGGCAATCAGCACCTAACCGGAAGCTACCTGCGCACGCGCCAACGCGGGTGGCCACAAAATCGTCGATCGATCGCGTGCTCCGGTACCACTCCGTCGGTCTCCGGCCCGCCTCGCCTCGCCTCACCGGCTTTATATAAACAAACAGAGCTGCTCTGTTCTGCTTACGCCAACTCCACCGCGCGACCCTATCCTCTCCGCCCCCGTCCGTTTGGGGTAAAACGGACAAACCAGACGGCCCAGCGCGCAGGCGCAAACAGATTTTTGTCCGCTTTCGACCCATCCACGGCCCAAGTTTGCGCCGGTTTTGGGGTGAAACGGACAGCGCGCGGACGGGCAGGACGCGCGTGCTTGTCCTCCCCTGGCCCGCCTATCGGTGTGAGAAACCAACCCCCCCAACGCCCCATTTGGCGCCATTTTCACAAACCCTCCCACGTCCCTCCCGCCCGCCCCCTCTCTCCCCCGTCCATGGCTGATGCCCCGCCGAATTCCGGCGGCCTGGCCGTCGACCCGTCCACAAAGGTGAAGAAGAAGGCGGCCAAGGCACCAAGGAAGCCGCGGTCGGAGTGCACGACGGAAGAGATCGCCAAGTTGGACGCGAAATCAGCGAAGAGGAGGGAGCAGAGAGCGGTCGTCAAGGTCAATGCCGCTGCAGCCAAGTTCGCCGCCTAGCGCGATGCGATGGAGGCCGCGCGGCGCAAGGCCGCGGTCGACGAGAAGGAGGACCTCATCAACACAGCGCACACCCTCCTCATGATTGGCATGGGCCGTCTGGCCGGGTTCCTTGCAGCGGCCGCTGGCCCCGCGAGCACAGGCTCGTCGGTCGCCCGGCCTCCGCACTGCGAGTCGCCGACGTCGCGGAACGCACCCATGTCGCCCGGCTTTCCTCCGCCAAGGCACGACGGCCAGACCCGTTTCTCGGGGTCACCGGACGTGGGCTTGTTCGCGCCATCCACACAGCGTCCCGCGATCGTCATCGACCTCAACGTCACACCTGGATCCAGCGGCGGCCGGGCGTCCGTCAAGAAGGCAATGTCGTTGATATTAGTGGCGAGCCATTGTTCATCGACGAGCTCACCCAAAGAGCGGAAGCACAAAAGAAGAGGAAGAGCATTCGCACGGGTTCATATACACAAGATGAGGACAAAATGATTTGCCAAGCTTGGATGGAGATTAGCCAAGATCCGAGGACCGGCGCGCAACAAAAGGGCATTGTTTTTTGGACGAGAGTCGACAAAACATTCCATGAAAGGAAGATGTTCGAGCCCTACCAATTTACAAGCAACTGTGGCATCGGCTCGATTGAAAAGAGGTGGTTGTTCATCCAACAAGAGTGCAACAAGTATCAAGCCACATTTGAGAGCGTTGAAGCACAGCCTGTGAGTGGTCTGGGCGTTGGGGACATGGTATGCTCTCCTCTTCCTAGCCCTTTCCTTGCTACGGCCATGATACTTCTGAAGGAAAT